TTTAATTTAGTTTTCTTTTTCTGTGCGTGCGTGAAAATTGTCGTGCGAGTCGTTGATATCACTGCGCATGCGTGTTACAGCTGTTCTTATCAATTCCAATCGGTCAGCTGTTAACGTGCTTGTCGGTGTGTTTACGTTCGTCTGTTTTGCCTAACTATAATTATATACAATAACTATATACAGAGACTAATGCAGTAACTATATACAAAACTATATTATCTGCCGCCTACCAAACTGCCTTATCGGCTGTAAATGGTTGTATGATTCTGTCACCTATTTACAACTCCTTCATGCACCCATGCCTGCTTTGCACTGTAATGCGTGCAAAAAGTTCATATCCGTCACCAAGGCTATTAAGTGCGCTAGTTTTGCTTGCAACGCTTATGCTCATCCTTCGTGTCTGACTGGTGGGTCCAACTCGGCTCCAAAATTCCTGTACCTGCGCTGCAAGCCCTGCTACTCACCGTTGCCATCTTCTGAAGATACCGGCCGCTCGGCAGACAAGATCACCACACATACTCGTCTTTCGGCCCGGACCAACATGGATAAATCTACTGCTTCTTCGTCAACTTCAACGTCTGCCCAGTTGACCTCCTTAACCGCACTGGTGAAAGATGTTATGGATGAGCTTAAGAGTCAACGTACCGACTTAAGAGAACTTCCTATCATAAAGGGCATTGTGTCTGAGCTTACAGTGACCACGCAGGATATGGCCACTTCTGTACAACAGCTGGCACTTGACATATCAGCCATGAGCACTAGATGCAGTTCTCTTGAGGCAGCTAATCTTTCCCTGGTGGCACGATGTCAGACTCTCGAGGAGCATAATACTGCGTTAGTACAACGTGTTGACTCCCTTGAGGAACGACTTTCTCGGGATCCTGAACTCTCCTCTGATGATGGTACTGCTCTCAAAGCTCAGGTCGAACATCTTATGCAGCGTAACCTTGACACACAAATAGTTGTCACTGGGCTTCTTTCTGCTCCTGATGTTACCGTTGAGAGGACCATTGAGCTCCTCGCTCGCTCCTTGGGCATTGTCACTAAGTCTGGCGACGTTGTGGATGCCTTTCGCCTACCACCCAAGGCTGGAGGTGCACCGCCACTCATAATTCGCTTCGCTACCATTTTCATTCGGGACTCATGGATCGCTCAGAAGAAGAAGAAGCCTGTGCTTTTGGCCTCGGATATTGACGCGTCTTTACCGGGTTCTCGTGTGTATCTCAATGAGCGTCTATCCTCTGTCAAGCACAAACTCCTCGTCGACACCCGCGCCTATGTGAAGCCTCACCGTCACCTCAGGGTCTGGACACGCCACGGCTCCATCTACGTTAGGAAGGACGGCGCCACTACCTCCCTAAAGATTGAACACCGGGATGACTTCGCCAAGATACCGATATGATGGCCAGCTTCGCCGCAATCCGCTCCCGCTTCTCGCCTGCCTACCGGGATCAGTCTGTGCCACGTCAATGCTCAATCAGTTGCTGCTCACATTGATGAGTTCCGGCACTATTTCAAAAACCGTTTCTTCCACTGCATTGCTGTATCTGAAACGTGGTTTAAACCACACACTCCTGACAGCGCTGTGAGCCTTGACGGGTACTGTCTGTTTCGCTGTGATCGGATCGGGAGAGGGGGCGGCGGTGTTGCAATTTACGTTCACGACTCCTTAAGTGCAAGCCTGCTAGAAACCTCCGGAAATGAGTATTGCTCTAAACCTGAGTACATTTTCCTGGATGTGGTCGTTCCCAGTGAGTCGCGCTTGCTACTGGCTGTTGTGTACCGTCCACCTAAAGTTGGCTATCTATCTGAGTTTGAGGCTACCTTCTCACGTCTCTCCTCATCCTATACTAGTCTTATTATTTTTGATTTCAATGCCGATCTTTTGACTACGTCCTTTGATAGCTCTCATTTGCATTCATTTATCACTGGTAACGATCTCCATCTTGTAGAATACTCAGCAACGCATCACCTTCGCGACTCTCATACATGGCTCGATCTTTGTATTGTTGATGATGCGGTGAAATTGTCTGCGTCTGGTCAATCGGCT